ATTATAATTGCAATGATTTATTTTTTACACTTCATTAGAATTATTGCACAAATTGAGATAATGTTGACTCATACGCATGATTTATTTTAAGGTAGTGGTTATCGTCCCATTTGATTACATGGAGAGGGCAGGGTTTATGAACCATACCGCAGCCAGCCACCAGGGGGCGATCAAAATGTTTTAACTTCACTTTAAGACACGTAATCCACACACACGGGCAAACAGTCGTAAAGAGGCGGTACAGATGAAGGTTCGCTTATCTGAAGAGTGACGTCACTTGCGTTGATGTCGATGACCGATAATTGTATAATAAAAAAAGAATTGCTTTTTTCGGCCGATACCGAATATTAGTCTCTAATCTCTTATTTGAATCTTGAATGTTTAAAAAATGTTTAATGTTTAACAAAATGATTGATCTCACTTGAGCACACATAAACTCTGGTCTCAGATCAGTGGGACCCTCCACCAGTGCTGGACAGTGGTGGCAGATGCTATAAATAGGGGCGTTTTAATTAAATATGGGGTAATGTGATCTGTGTGTGGCAGACAGCAGATCGCTCGTCCCTATACATTCGTTATCATTAACAGATAAACGGGCCTCCTGCACGGTAACTCAAGCCTGCTGTTATGACAACAGGGTCAGAGGTCGATAGTAGAATCTATCCAGGAAATAATGAGACAAGACATGAAACGGACATGACAGAATTAAACACATCTGTACTGTATCAGGGGATGCTGGATTAAATATGACAGGAAGTGATGTATGTGGATGATGCTGTACAGTATTTCATACTTAGATTGGCTGATTACATGGGAAAGATGTGACTGAGTGTTTGACAAACACCTACAAGTCCTTAGAAACCATTCTGAAGACCTTAGCAACCACAAAGCAACACCCTAGCAACCTCTCAGAGGATTTTAACTCCATAGCAACGTGTTAAAACATTCTGAACACCTTGGCATATCAATGCCCAAGCAACCATTCAGAATACCATAGTAACAATCTAGAGAACCTTAGTAACTTCATAGCAACATGTTTAAAATACTCTGAACAAATTAGCATGGAAATGCCCTAGCAACCATCCAAAACACCCTGGCAACCACTCAGAAGATGACATTAGTAACTGCATAGCAAGGCCCTAGCAACATCTAGACATCTTAGCAAATACATATTGATGTTCTAGCAACCACTTAAACACCCTAGCAACCAACTGGACGATCATATTATTTTCATTGCAACAAGCTTAACACTCTGAACACCTTAACAACCACCCAGAAAAAGAGCTTAGCAATGCCTTAGCAACCACTCTGAACACCCTGGCAACCACCAAGAATAAGCCCGTAACAACTGCAGTGCAATGCCCTACCAACCATTCTGAACATATTAGCAACCACCCAGACGCTCATAGCAACATGCTTGAACTCTGAAGAACCCACCCTGAAGAAGAACGTAGCAATTGCATAGCAACCACTCCAAAAACACCCTGGCAACCACCTGGAAGACCGTAACAACCACAGAGCAAAGACCTAGAGACCATTCCAACCCCCGAAAGACGAATTTGACCTTAGCAACTGCATTAGCAATGTCCTAGCAACCACTATGAACACCCTGGCAACCACCTGGAAGACAACAACCACAGAGCAATGCCCTAGCAACCATTCCAACCCCCTGAAAGACGAATTTGACCTTAGCAACTGCATTAGCAATGTCCTAGCAACCACTATGAACACCCTGGCAACCACCTGGAAGACAACAACCACAGAGCGATGCCCTAGCAACCATTCCAACCCCCTGAAAGACGAATTTGACCTTAGCAACTGCATTAGCAATGTCCTAGCAACCACTATGAACACCCTGGCAACCACCTGGAAGACAACAACCACAGAGCAATGCCCTAGCAACCATTCCAACCCCCTGAAAGACGAATTTGACCTTAGCAACTGCATTAGCAATGTCCTAGCAACCACTATGAACACCCTGGCAACCACCTGGAAGACAACAACCACAGAGCGATGCCCTAGCAACCATTCCAACCCCCTGAAAGACGAATTTGACCTTAGCAACTGCATTAGTAATGTCCTAGCAACCACTACGAACACCTTAGCAACCACTTGGAAGGGCTTAACAACATCAGAGCAATGCTCACTGTGATGCTGAATACAGAGAGAGATTCACATAGATAAACTGCGACTGATATTAAAGGAAAAATGAAAATTCAGTCATAATTTACTCTCCCTCAAGTAGTTTCAGAGTTGGACGTATATATTTCTCCTGCTGAACACAAAACAAGATATTTTGAAGAATTCTTTCACTATTCCTTTAAGGACAAAAACACTTCAGAGACATGTATGGGTATTTTTCTCACTACGGATCATACAGGTCTTTTCCTACGAGACTTGCATATAATCATAATAATAATCACGGACACACGTAAAGCTCCGCCTCCTCCTGCATTTAAAGACTCAAGCCAGAAGACAGAGTCTGACGCCGGCGACGGGACATTCCTGCTGAGAGACTCGTCGTGGCTCAAAGCCTAAAATAAGATTAGGACACTCGTCGGGAATTAAACAGGTCCTCTGCTCTCTCTCTCTCTCTCTCTCTCTCTCTCTCTCTCTCTCTCTCTCTCTCTCTCTCTCTCTCAAGAAGTGTTCGCAGAGGTTTAGCACATATACAGTAGGACTGGTTGATACAGTCGAAGAAAGTTATTTTTGCCCTTTTGACAATACACATAAAAACAGCTCCATGATTGAGCTACTATTCAATATGATCAACGCAACCAAAATACAGTGAAAATCTAGTTACATTTATCAAAGAATCGGTTTTTTTTTTCACTTAATTAACATACACTATATTAAATCGTTTTAATTGAATGTATTATTTTTAACTGCAGCAATTAAAAAGAGCTGTATTTGTATCTATTTTTTACTCAAACATTTATAATATATTAATAATGGAAACCACAATATTTCAATTTCAATATTCAGAATTTTGCTCTGAATTTTCCATTGCAAATATATTGTGAATATTCAATATATCGCTCAGCCCAAATGCATAAATATGACTTTAAATTGTTTTAAAATTTACAGGAGTGCACAAAAGTGACTAGTGTTTAATGACCCTGCAATTAATAATCAGTCAAAATATGAGGAAAATATGTTATAATTTTAAATATTTTATATATATAATTTGGTTACAGTATTTATCGGCCAAAATTATTTGGCAAATTATACAGCATGCAACTTATTTTATTTTACTATGCATAGAAAAACAAAGCATACATCGACTACAGCATAATCGGTTATTAATATTTGGTTGATTCTCTCTTGTTTTTGCATATAACAGCCTGGACAAAAATGATGTCGCACAATTTCCCAAATAATATTGTTATCAACTCTTACTCCAAGCACAACTACGCAATATAATTACAGGTTCAAATGTAATACTATTTAAGAGTGAAGATGTCAGTTGTCCTAGGCTGGACATCACTTTTCCTCACTAGTGTATACATGCAGCATTTGTATATACATATATCTCACACTAATTGGTTGAAGAGAGCGGCTGTTGACAGGTGAATACGTGTGAATACTGACGGGGTAACGACTCCTGTGAAGGCCAATTTATGAACTCACGATGGTTGGTCTTTCTTTGCATTAGTGAACCTGTGTGCACAAAGGTCAAGAAAACCCAACCTCGCTTTGACCCCCGAAGCTTTCAAGCCTGCAAACGTGCCCGAATGCTTTTAAAAGCGCACGTGTGAGTCCGTGAGGAAGCATTGATTAACTCAATCGACGGAACGCTTCCCAAGGACATAAACAACACCAGAGGTCCACTGTTACCATGGACACCATTATGATGTCACAGCTGCATCAAGAACACAGTTCCGCTTCCATTTGTCATTCTGAAACAACATTACTAGCGCCTAATATCATAATCGTGTCTTTGAAACGGGAGTTTCAGCATTTAATGCAGTCCGGGAAGCTCCACAGTGCTGCTGTTATTATCGATTTGATGCACAGTGTACTTTTATTAGAACTAAATGCGTTTGTAAGATGCCTCTGACACTCAAGAAGTGAGAAAAACACAAAATGAGATTCATTGTCAATACAGGAGCAAAGTGCTTTTCTGTATCTTCAACAGCGCTGCACAAAATGTCAAAACCGTTTTAAATCTTCAGATCAAGAGCTTGTACCACAACTATCTAATTATGCCAATATCCCTCACTGGGGAGTTCTTGGGTTCCCCGTCCATTTGGAAACATATCTGACCTCACAATCCCCAAGGCATTCGCATTAAAGAAACAGTACACCCAAAATTAAAAATCACATTTACGTGGAAAACTTTGAGAATTATTGCAGGATATAATGTACATTTCTCACACAAAGCTATAGTACGACAATCAGGAGAGATTTAAAATATATATATATATTCATTTACTGGTGTTTTTTGGTGCTTTTCGCCTTTGACAGCTCCAGTCCTAATCATCCACACATGACATTCGTCTAATTTTTTGCTTTCGTGTTACACAGAAGAAAGAAAACGCAAGGGGCTTGTAACGAGTAAATAATACAAGTATTTTTATTTTAGGTGAACTGTCCCTTTAAGACCAGCATCATCCCTGTTATTTCAACAACGCAGTCGATCAGGGCGGCATAAACCTTTCAAAGGAATATTTATCCACATTATTTTTAGCTTACTACGCGGAATAATTGAGTTTAGGAATATACTAACGTCCTTAAGCTGTTCAAAATCCCTTTAAATATCCACGAGAGCTGCGCGAGCACCTGTGCGGGTTTCCAACGGGTGTCATGCGCGTTTCTCTACCCAACGACACCCTAGTATTGGATAGACATTATATACGGTGTTAATATATCGCTATATGATCGTATAAAGAGAAGAAAGCAGTGCGATCTCATGCCAGTGCACTAAACCCGCCCGTAAGTGAACACTGACACATTTACACACACTCACACACATATGATATGAGAGAATCAGTCGTTACCTCGGAATGAATATGATGTCGCTCCGGAGTCGCGCGTTATTCCTGTGTTTTCCTCGATTTCTTCCCGGTCATCCGCTCGATCGCTACCATTAGCCACTCGCTGGTTTCCTCTGAAGAGGGCTGTGTGTTCTTCATGAGCCTCTTATAAAGAGCCGGACGATCCTCTGTGTGTGTCGGTTCACGGTGGAGGATTCAGGCCTGTCGCGCGCTTCACCGTAAAGAGCGACGAATGTGTCGGTGACGCGCGTCTGGAGCCGTGGAGCCGCTGGCCGGGATCGTCTCTCTCTCTCACACACACACACACACACACCAACACACTCTCTCTCTCTCTCTCTGCCACACAGTCTCTCGCTCTCCTCCAAACGGGAACATCCTAATGTAGAATCGTAAATTAAATTAGAACGTACATTTAATCACATTAACCTTACAGTAACTACTGTACAGTGATGATAATAGCATTGCATTGTGGGATGTACCATATTATTACCGATTCATGATAAATAAAAAGACAGTATCTAACAGTCAAAAACCCATTGTATTATCATAGTGGATGTCCAAAACATGATATTACCATGATGATCCATGTACAAAAATGATGGTGTTACTATGATCCATGTACAAAAAAAAAACTTGTTATTACCACGATGCATGTCCAAAAAAAAAAAACGGTATATGATGAATGACCAAAAACATGATGAATGATGCAGGAAAACATAATGTATATCCAAAGAAAACATGGTATTACATGTTGCAAGTCCAAAAACATGGTATTACTGGTGATGCATGTAAAAGCATGGTATTATGATGCAGTAATACATATATATGTATGTCCAAAAAAAACATTCCTACAGCATGGCCAAAAAACATGGTATACCAAAATGTATTAAGATATCCGTCCAAAATCCATTGTGTTATTAGTGCATGTCCAAGAACATGATATTTCAAAAATACGTGGTATTACCATGCCAATATGCTCAAATTGACACTAAATGGTACTTTTGCCTGCTTTTTGAGTCTAGTTGAGCCTAAAAATCGCTTTCATTGCACAGTTTCCACCAGAATCCTGTAAGTTTAAATGTCTGAGAAGCTTTCTTAGTATTGTGCTTTGTGTTCTGATAGTTTTACTCCGGTACGCTCAGTGCTGAGTTTAACGAAGCCGCCGTATGATGAGTGTAACTAAAGCAGGCTGATAGCAGCAGGTCAGGCTGATGAAGATGTGTGTGTGTGTGTGTGTGTGCGGGTCCCGGGGGACTGTATCCATCAGACCTGCTGGAGGACGAGCTGTAATGGCTCTTAATGACCGCTGAGTCACGCACACAAATGTCCTTTTCCAACCTTCTCAGGATTGTGTGAGTTAGAAAAGACCAGCTCACTCACCGTCATGATGATGCAGATACACAAACACCCATTATATGTGGATTATATACCCAGATATGCCATTTCTAAACATCACGACTGTATTTTGCATTGTTTTTAATTTAAAAATATTTCCCTGTCTCAAATTATTTTGATTATTTTTGAACCTGGCTTCTATTTGATCCCGTTTGAAGTCCTGGAAGAGCCACAGTCACCTGACTTGAACCCCTTAGAAAATCTCTGGTGGGATTTGAAGAAAGCGCAATCCCAGGAATATTACTGAACTGGAGGCCATTGCTCATGAGGAACGGGCTCAGACTCCTCAGAAACGCTGCCAGAAGCTGCCGTCTGCTTATACATCTCGTGCGCAGCAGCTCATAACAGCAAAAGATGCTCAACTAAGTACTAAAGATGGGGTTGAAGGGGTTGAATCATGTTGGGACTGCAGAAAACATTAAAAGTTGCGTTTTCAGTTGAGTTTGAGGAAACCACGTGAAACATTTGTTGTGTTGAGCTATTTCAATTTTGCCAAAAAAAACGATTTGTAATGAGGGTTGAATAATTTGGATTACAACATTATAAATATATATGTGTGTGTGTGTGTGTGTGTGTGTGTGTGTATTTGAATACAGAAAAGCTTTCATCCTCTTGTAACAAAAAACATGTAAAGTACTGAAATACAGAGATTATTAATAACATTTATTAATTATTTTTCTGTATAAAGAAAGAAAAATATAATAATTATTTCTATTATAGAACACTATTTGCTGCTGTGAGAAAACAGAAGGAATTCGAGTAAACCAATTATAACGAGAAAAGGGTGAAGATTACAGGTGTGAGAGAGAGAGAGAGAGAGAGAGAGAGAGAGAGAGAGAGAGAGAGAGTGAAGTTAAAGACAGTGGATGAGAGGCAGAAAAGCTCGGAGATGAAAGGAATATATTCCAATCAGAGGTAAAAACGCAGCAGTAAATGACTAACATTATAAAAGCGCGCGCTGAGAGCTCTATAATGAGCAGATGTGAGAAAACAGAGTGAACAATTAGGAGAAAACAGAAAGTCCCATCTTTCCCTGCGACCGTAATGATACACACAGCACCGAATGAGTGTGAAATTAGGTCACACAGAAAGAGAGACACACAAGATAATGTCTATTAGGTTTTTTTTCTTAATATTAACCTTTATTCAACTTGCCCCAGTGTTGTCATAATTTAGATCATAGCACACATTTACATATAAATATATATATGAAGAGTTCAGATGCAAAAGCCTCTAAGTGCCATTTGAAATTTTCTTCTAAAATGATAATTTTTATCAAACTTGTATATTTAAGTTCAGTGATTTCACTTAAATGGCAATGAATATTACCTATTTGTCATTTAAGTGAAATTACTGAACTTAAATTTACAAGCTTGATAAAAATTGTCATTTTAGAAGAAAATTTCAAATGGCATTTAGAGGCTTTTGCATCTGAACTCTTCATATATATATATATATATATTTATATATATATATATATATATATATATATATACACAGACACACACACGCATATATATATATAACTACACAATTAGATAATACCAGTTTAGTTCAACCAGTGACGAAGCAATGCTTCATGTTGTTCAGTGTGTGTGTGTGTGTGTAAAAAGAGCATTAGCAATTAGAGAAAACACACTGAAGAAAACACGGTCAGTTCAAAGGAAAAACAGAAGCACAAGCCAAGCGTTAGAGACAGCCAATCCAGTCACTCGCTTTTCTACATCTTCTGAAAGTTGTATTATGATGTACAGGATAGCATTATAACTCTGCTAATATGAGGAAAGAACACATATTAGCTCTTTATTTCCTCAAATGCAGGAAATAAAATGCAATAAATTTGCCCACAGAACCTGCCATTCATCACCCAAAACTACTTTTTGACTCATTACCTCCAAGGCTTTTCCTATAGAGGAAAGCACTAATCTTGATTAAAGTTTAATTTGATTATTTGTAGTAATAATATTAGTTTAGACGAGGGATTCTCAAACCTTTCTGTCAGCCAAACCTAAAATACCAGCCAAAAATATTAAATATTTCTGCTAGCCAGACCATATTCTCCTGAGATTATAAATTACAACAAGTGCATGTTCACAGTCCTATGATGTTGATAACCAGCCATGCGCAGGTTAAAAAAAAGTTACATAGAAAAAAATGCTAGCATTTTTGTGCTATTAATTGCATTTCAAAATGTATATTTTGAATAATTTTTTTTAAACAGTTTTATATTTAAACAAAATATGAATGATATATATATATATATATATATATATATATATATATATATGCAAGCCTATTTTGTTTTATTTTTATGCATTTTCTCATCTTTAGTGTAGTTTGACTATACAGTTATGTGATGCTGCCCCCTACTGGAGAGAAGCTGTATTTCATATCAAAATAAAAGCCATTGCACACACAGACATGAAAGGAGTTGAAATAATTTTATTATCTTACATCTAGATTATCTCAAAAACTTCAACTAAGAAAAATAGCTCAGTACAACGTAGAAAACAAGCGACAGCAACAACAACACTACTACAACATCTATATATTAGTATTAATCCAAGTGACGTCTTCCTCGGTTTTGAGTTCCCTCTCGCTGTGTCTCTTGGACTGGCGGTAATGTCTCTCTGCGTCTTGTGCCTCGTAGAGGACGGCCATGATCTTCCTCCTGACGCGCATCTGCACGTTGGGGTCGCTGAGCAGCCGGTACTCCATCGCCACCTGACTGGAGAAGACCGCGGCCGAGTCCGCCGGAGGGTTCTCCAGGACCTTAGCCGACATCTGCTTCAACACCTCCAGCTTCTGCAGCTCGATGTCGGAGTCGGAGACGCGCCGCCGCTTGCTGGACGAGCTCCTGGGGGACAGCGAGTACGAGGCCGTCTCCTCGGGGATCCCGGTGTCGGGAGTGCCGGGACTCGGAGAGAGACACACACTGATGGAGTCGAAGCTGTCCATGTCTTTATCCGTCTCCTGCATCATCTCGTCCGACTCTTCCACAAACTCCTCCCCTTTATCAGAGCACGGCAGACCCAGCTACAGGGAGCAAAGACGAAACGTTAAGCACAGGCTAATTTAGAGTTTAGAGTTATGAACTCTGTTGATATTTCACTGGTTTTGTCCGTCCTTCTGTTCGATTCTCACACATGAATTATGTTGAATATCTGTCAGCTGCCTCTGGGGTTGTTCGTTTGAGAGTCACACTCGGGGTGTTCGGGTCCAAATGGACCCAAAGGGCGGGATACATATTTAAAAAAAAAAAAAAAAAAAAAAAAAAAAAAATCATGATTTTTTTTTTTGACTCGTTTTTTATAATATTTTTTTCTTTTCTTTTTTGGTGTTTTGAGAAAATTTCAAAAAAAAATAATAATAATAATTAATATTAAGGCAATAATTATGCCAAAATTTCCCCCATTGAACATAATAGAAAAAAATATATTTTTTTAAATATATTTTTTTAATTTGTTTTAAAGCTGTACTTCATTTTAGAGTCAAGCCTAGGCCTCATAAAAGCAATTTTTGAAATTAGATGGATGCCATCTGGTGGACAAACTGAGCATTTTAAAAATGCAAAACACATGTATAATCTGAATTTTTTGGTGTGTTTGTGTGACTGGATGTGTCTGTTTTGCACTCTTGATGTTTTATATATATTCACCCCTTCACTGTTGTGTGCTTTTTTTCAAGATCGTGGCTGATTTGTAGATTGTACGCACAAAAAAAACTCACTATTTTCACATTTTTGCCAATTTCCCATTCATTTTCCATGCGGGTCCATTTGGACCCGAACACCCCAAGTGTGACTATTTTTTTTTTACAACCACTTTAGACTATTCACATCCTGTTCAAATACCAAATACCAACAAAGTCACCAAATTTCAGACCATTCAGAGGAAGCTGTGATTTTTAATCATCACTTCGGGTCCATTTGGGCCGAATAACCCCAGAGGGTTAAATTAGATAATACCAGTTTAGCTCAAACTATTACCAAACAATGCTTCATTTTGTTAA